CAATAAACTTAACGGTATTTGGGAGACAACCCAATTGATCGACTTTGTTTGTGTTTAAGAGTTATGTGATTGTTGTTCTTTGTTGAGTTTAGAAAATCGTATAGTTTGATGTGAGTTAAGTTGCATTCTTGTTTGTATAAATGTTAATTTTGGGTATATGGGTTAATTTGGAAAAATTTCAACCCAGCATTGCAGTGCTACCCTGTTGAAGCGCCACAATGCTGTGTGAATTAACAAATATTTTGATTAAGCCAATTGCACTACAATGCTGGAAGAATCCAGCGCTGTAGCGCCATCCATACAACGTCGTGACATTGAGCTCTCCAGTCATTTTGTCGAACTGAGCATCTCAGTGCCACCCATGCAGCGCCATACGCTTGGTCAAATTGTTAATAGGGTAGATGAAGCGTTATGGTAACAATCGCTTCGAGCACCACAACGCTGCCACATGTTGAGCGTCGTGGCGGTCTCACGGTCAAAAAGCCTACGATTTCAATACCCAAGGTTTGTGCCGCAATGCTAGTACCCGTATAGCCCAGTTTGACTAAGTGATTCAGCGCTACTCAAGCTAGCACAAAAGTACTGGAAAATTTATAAAGATGGCTAGGGGCTAAATTTCATTTTCGATCTACATCCTGTAGCTTCTAAGTTCTTAAGTTTTCTTGTATTCATGTCTTAGGATTCATATTTTAGCTCTCTTTGTAGAATGGCCCCTAAAATCCCTGTGGGTAGGAAAATATCTAGTTCCACCTCCTTTGATGCCCGTAGGTTTGCAAGTGATGTAGTTGAAGAGCGGTATAATAATTTAGAGGGGAAGTCCATCATTTTGAAGAGATGGTTTGATAACCCTAGGGGGTTATCCAGGTCCAGATTGTAAGGCAAAATTGGGATTTCCTAGTCATCCATCCCCGTCTATCCAATGCCAGTATCATCGGGGAATTATTCGCTAACACAAAGGAGATCCCAAAATGAATATGTTTTCGTGCATGGTAAGTGGGTCTCTTTCACTCCTATATCTATTAATCAAATCTTCCAAACCCCAATTTTCAATTTGACGATGACAAGTACCTAAATTTTTGTACTACTATAATAAACTACAATGAAATAATTACATTCATAACCTAGAGAGATTTAAATGCCAAGTGGAAGAGGAGAGGATAAAATCATAAACTTATCTGCTTTTGCCCTCACCCAAAAATTCAAAGCTAGGAATTATTTCATTTCTACAAAGCTTATGCCCATTAGAATATTTGTGAGGTGACTAGGGATAAGGTTATTTTAAATTATTGCATTCAAAAAGAGACAAATTAATCCATTGATTTAAAATTAGTAATTATGGATAAGTTAATTTCCTAAAAATCACTTAAGAACTTGTCAACTCATAAAGGAATATCAAATTTTAGGATTGATGCAAATTAAATCATTAGATTAATCCTAAATCACCTAAAGGAAAGTACTAAAGGAATTATGAAACATTTAAGAAACATTAAATTAGTATAATAAGTGAAGACAATAGACAAATATTCAACATCAAAGTTGGATATTTTAGCAAATAAATGAAAAAAAAAGTTAAAAAAATGCTAAAATATCAAAAATTGATACCTGCAATGTCTAGTCCTTCTTAAAAATAATAAGTGAAAGGAATAGATAGGTATTCAAAATAATTATAAGGTATCTAGCCAAATAAAAAAATAAATTGTTAAATACATGAATATTAAAAATCTATACCTGCAATGTCTAGCCCTAACTCTATACAAGGACAAATTTGGGGGGGGGGGGGGCGGCGGGAGGCATAGAACTGTTCTGATATCTCCCATGGGCCGCCCCCCCCCCCCCCCCCCACCCCCCCCCCCCACAAAAAAAAAAAAAGCTATTCTGCCATACCTAAAAAAAATCTTGGGTGTTTTTTTGTTGAATAGCCAGAGTATGAGGTGACTTTCTTACCGGTGTTGAGGAAGGAGCCAAGGAGGAGACCTAGGCAGTGGGAAGTCGGCGATTGAGTTTGCGAATCATGTTCAGAAGGTGATTGCGGATGAGCTTCGGTTTCATTGTTGGGAGTTTACAAGGATAAGTATCTTAAACTTGGAGGGTATAATGGGAAGAAACTGTGAAAGATGCTCACAAAGTGTTCGACCAGATGCCTCATTGATGTTACCATTTTATTTTATTTTCTGGTAGTCTATGTTTTTAAATTATTATTATTAATTTCTTTTCTTTTGTTGTGACAATTATTTTCTTTATTTATATTGACATCTAAATGGCATGCCAAAAGTGTTCGATGGCATGCCTATAAGCACCGATAATTTCTTGGTTATAGGCTAAAGATAGTTTTTTTCTTAAACTTTTTCTCTTGTTGTTATTGTTGATAATTCGAATAGCATATTCAATGTATTCGATGAAATGCTCCACAAGATTTCGGTTTGCTCATCTTCCATCTTGTACTCTCGCCACTCGGCATTTGATCTCTCTGTCAAATTATAAGTTTTTGTAATATTCTATCTTTTTAAACTAATAAATTTAATAAACAAAATATTTAAAACTATGAATATCGATTCTAATCCCAAATGAAAAAAATCGAGGGAAAATAAAAAAATTGAAATTATGCCCCTATAAAAAATTTCTGGCTCCTCCACTGCCTCTATATATCTAAAGGAATTATTGGAATCATAGTACTTAAAAAAAAAACACTATAACTAGGCTTAAAGATTAACTAAATGTGTAATTTCATTAATTTCCAAAAATTCAGAAAAGATTAGTAAGCTTGTCGAAATTATTCACCCATAGGAGCTTAATTTAAAAGGAATATTAATTTAAAATGAAGGATCAGAATGTTATAATTTTTTTACAGGAAAATCAATTTTTATACATTATAAATACTTAGATTATTAAATTTATATTTTCCCAAACTTTTATTAAATACAAAACATATTTTTTATCCTAGTGTAATATAAATTACTTGAGAACAAGTAATATCCTAAAGTTTGGGAAAATTTAATAAGATAAATTGTTAATTTCAAATTACTTATATTATGATATTTTGTACTTTTAATCCTTATGTTTTGTGCAAGAAAAGAGTGAAAACTTTATAAAAATTGAGGCATCATCTTAGTATCAAAATGTCAACGTTGCAGCACCAAAAGATCATTATAGCACCGCAGCACCACCCCTTCAACACAACGGAGAGCTCTCAAAAAATTGGCTGGAGAGCTTAGCGCCAAAGCGCTCCCAAGAAGTGTCACAACACTAAATTGCTTAGTGCCACAGCTTGAAATAGTTAAACTAGTGAACCGATGCGACGAATGATGAACTAACGCACTGGTCCAGCAGCGCCATCAAGCTAGCGTTGTGACGTTAGTTCATTATTTAGAAAAAATATAAATAGTAGCCTTATTGTATAAAGAGGTTGACACATTGTGGAGTCATTTTGTGTAAGTTTGTGTGTGAGGGAGATAGTTTTTGAGAGGGAGTGGATTGTGTATCTATGTTTAGAGTGCTATATTAATGTGGATCAAAGTGAAGTAGTGCAAAACAGTTCTCTCTTAAATTTCGGGTCATTTCTAACTCTTTTATCTCCCGTTTATCTTGTGTTTAAAGTTTGAAATTTGTTGTTTATCAAATGAAATAAAATGATTGTATGTGAAGCTAAAATTTTACTCTGGATCTGTGATTATTTACAAAGCATGTATTGCTTAGAGTAAGTTTCATCTTTATAATATGCAAGTTGTTTTTAATTTCTCGTGCATCAATTGGTATAAGTAAAGGGAGTACATAAATTGAAAACTTAGTGTGATCTAAAACCTCAATGGAGGAATAAAAGAACAATTAAAGATTTTAAAACGTAATCCGGCCATAACATAGACATATGGTGGTTAAGATTATAGGGTCTTAAGAAGATAGAAGAATTGTATTTAGTATGGATCCTAACTAATGGTCCAATGAGCTCGATACAAACAAGGAGTACTTATGCTCTAATCCACAACAACAATAGGTAAAAATTACTCTAAAACAATCATGTACTTTAAATATCATAGGTTCAATACTTCAAAAAATAGTAAATTTACTTTCTACATTTGATGCTTTTTAAATTTAATATGCACCATCCATTTTAAATTAGCAAGCTAGATAAATTTAGCAATTCAGTAGGCAGTAGTAAAGTGAACTTAAAAATTTTTAGTTCTTCTTTCGTGGAATTGATACTATTCTTATCAGTATATTACTTGACAAGACACATGCACTTACGTTAAACAGGCCTTATAACATAGCAAAATTAAGCTATCTTTAGAATACCCAATAATTTGTGTAAGATAAAGCACAAAGCTCTGTATTTGCATAGCTAAAAAATAGCCTTTCAATCATCATCATTAACTTTAACTCAACTATTTGAGATCAATAATATGAATACCTATTTTTCATTTTTTTTTCCTATTTAAGTATTATTTGAAACGTTAAAACCTATTTTCCAAATATTATTTTGAATAACTACTATTCATATAACTATAGATCTAACCATTTTCCATCTTATTCTTTATACACTTAATTTATAATCTCACATGATAAACATTTGTTTTTAACATTCATTTTACAGGTCTAAACCACCTAAGTCTATTTTCAATCATCTTACCTTTAATAGATTCTTCCTACTTTGGCCAATCATACAGCTTAACATTCTTATTTCTAGTACAGTTAATGAAAGCAATTGACAAATAAGTAACAACCATTGCAGTAGTTAGTAGAAAAGAATGCCAAGCAGCTTAAGAAGTTGGTAATGATGATGAGAAATAACATGGTGTGTGCTCATCACTTCAGCAACAAAAAACAAGTGGACAAAATCAAGTAATATGAAAATAGAGAGAAATTTGATAAACACAAATGAAGGGAGAGAAACCAAAATGCAACAATTATCAATAAGTAACCAGACATGTAAACCTAAATAGAACAAATAGCAAAAATGGCATACTTTGTTATAGTCCAACATCGAAACAAATCAGGCAACAACTTACTTAGCAATTTCCTGATGGCGCTGACCAAGCTTCTCTGCAGCCAATCTAAGCAGATGGCGAGAAGGCAAATTTGCCGGGATCTGGCCGGGTTCCAACTTCAGGTACAATTCCTCCTGCAAACGCTTCAAGAGCAACGCTGCCTCAGGTGAGAGCTCCTCAGGGAACTTTTTCTCTTGCAAAGAGCAAAACCTGAAAGATCTACCAATTTGTGGTAGTTTGTTCTCCCCTATATTCTCCTTCTTCGCATTAGCATCGTTAGGGCAAGGTAGCTTTTTGGATTGTGAGTCCGCTGATGGATTAGAAAATATTGAGGACAGACTCTTTGGTTTCGTTGGGTTAGAATCTGCAGCTGCTAGCGAAAAGACTCCCTTGTTAAGCAAGAAAGAAGAAGGATCAACGACGGACCCGGGGCAGAAGCCCAGGTGTGAGATTGGATCGAGAGAAATGGGGATTGTGCGAGAAGAAATCAGACGATTGAAGATAACGAATCTGGTAAGTACCATCGGGGAACTGAACTGTATTGTGAGATCTTTCGGACAACGGGGTTTAGGGTTTAAATCATAGGAAGGACAGGTTCTTCATAAGTTTAATATGTTTTTTTGGAGTGTAAGTGAGTCGGATCGAGCGACTCCTACTCCGTTTATTGTGCCATGAGTTGAACTCAAGCTCATATATTAAACTACCTAAACTCAGCATGGCTCATTTCGAAAACTTATTGAGTCCTTAGATTAATTTAAAATATATTTAAAAATTAATTTAAATTAGTATTATATAATATATTTAAACTTTTTAATTCATTATATACTAAAAATAAAAATTCTAAAATAATAAAAAAAATCATTTAAAACTAAAAAATTGAGCAATCAAGCCGATAAATTTTTTAACAACTTGTGTTTAGTAAACAAGCTCCAGTCAAGCTCAAATTCAATAAGCACTAAACAAACCTAGCTCGATTAGACAGAACTCGACTCATTTACCCATCTACGTGGCTAAAGTGAGCGGGGCGGATATCAACATAAAAATTTTTAAGAATGGACTCAGGGATATTCACGGTTGAATCCAATAAGTTAATATTAAATTAATTTTTTTGTTATTCATCATATTATTATTGATATAAGAGAAGATATTTTTATTATTTAGTTATATATGATATTTCAAACTAAGTAGAATCTGTAAAAAAAAAATTTATACATGAAATATTCAAACAGAGAAATGCACAATATCTTGACTAGGTAAATAGATATTATCTGATATAGATTATATTATTGATATGTCATCAAAAATTATCTTGATCGGACATGAATCTCGAGGCAAAATCAATTAGAAACTTCAAAAATTAAATCTGGGACCATCTGATCTCTATTTCAGCAAACTTATAGTCGAATGAGCGTTCGGGAATACGAACCCACGACACCAAATTCAACTCGATCCGAGCCAAATGGGTCCAAATCGCAGAAACCCGAAGAACATTCGGAAAGTTCAATCCATAATTTGGTTACTATTAGTTTCCAAAGATGACATGCTTATAATCGAAAAGAGCGGCTAAATGAAATGATGCAACGAGCCTAAGATTGCTGAATTCTGATATCATTAAGACCTTCAAATGTCAACAAACGGTCCAAGATCAAGGGATTCAATATCGGTCATCCATTCAAACCGCTCCACATTTGCCCTTGATCTCTTCTATTTATGAGTCATGCCATACTCAAAACTATAATACCCTCATTCTCTTAAATGGGGGGCCCAGCAGAAGAAGAAGAGAAGGGAATGAGGGAAGAAACTCCTCCTCACGCCACCGCCGGGGATTTGCCAAACTTCCACCGACACCACAACTTCCACGGCGATGTCGGAAATTATACCCGTCTTCCCACCTGGACGTCGGAATTTTTTTTGCCAGATTTCCATGGGACACTATGAGTTAGTACCCTAAATCTATTCCACTTTCAGTGAACGCTGAAACTTCGCCCAATCTCCAAGTGACACTGGAATTCTGCCCGACTTCCACGGGACAACGAAAATTATGCCCGTTTTCCATGAGACGTTTAAGGTTCCACCCACTTTCAAGTGACGCTAGAATTCTATTTCCCGACGTTCACTAGAGATGCCAGATTTATGTTTCGACATCCGCGAGATGCCGGAAGTTCCCAACTTTGAAGTGACGCCGAAACTTCCTGCCTAGATCTTCAAGTGACGTCGAAATTTGTTTGATCCCCAAAGTAACTCTTGAGTTTTGCCTGAATACATCTAACGTCAAAGTTCTCCCTGGTCGCCAACTGATGTTGGACTTCTACCTGATCAGTTCGACCTCCACAGTCGCCGATTGTCTTTCTACGTAGATTTCTACCCATGTCGGATTTTTTGTCGTACATACTATCTGAGTTGCATTTCACTATCCTCATATTGAACTCTACCTGACACCTCCTTCTAGATCTCGTAGTTAGACAACGGTCCTCCGACCTTCCAATCCGCCTGCCCAACTATGATCTTTCTCGACTTAATCGCCTGGTTCCATCAACTACTCGCTTCTGACCAAATAGAACATGTCAACAGTGATTCTATTTGTTCCCACTTCATGTATCGTACTCCATATGATGTACTACTAAGCTAAGGCATCTTCCCCCCAAGGAAGGCCCCTCATTTGTAATCAACTAATATACTAGTAGATTCATCTTCAGTTGGGCTGGACCCTTATGGTGTTTTCCCTTTAAGCGTGATTTCCACGTAAAAACCTTTTCTGAATCATAAAATGTCTATACTCTTCTCTCTATCTATATTGGTGCGTGTTTGAATCTTCGTACAAATAGTTAAGACGTGTTAAAATTTTTATATTCTCTACCAGCCGGAATACTTAGCCCACAAAGTTTGGCGTCATCTTGTGGGAATTTTCCCAATTGGGGAGCAAACTTGTTATAGTCCTAGAGGTCATCTTTATGCAACTCTCCTTGATATAAAAGCCCTTGCCACTCAATTCTAAGAATCATCATGCAGGACTGGGGGGAGAAAAATTTGGACTCCAAGCCATTAGTGAAAAAAGATCCATCCAACATCTAGTGATGTTTTAGAACAAATATTTAGCAATTATTAAGGATATTTCCAATAAAATTAGTGAAGCTTTATACAGATCCCTGCTGGACTTATACTCCTTGGGCAAGATCTTAAATCTCGACCTCAACAAGAGGGGAGTAACATCTAAAGATTAGACCATTCTCTACCTTTGATTCAGACGAATAGGAAGAGCCAATTAGGAAAGTGACAAAGAACCTAAAGGACCAAAAGGACCTATAAAAGCCATCATAATAGGAGGTTGTCCCCAAGCCTTAAGATTTCTCACAAATACCACGTTTCGTTGATGGACTGCCAGTTAGCGAAGAATCTATCCACTCCACCTTTTCACTCCATTAAGAACATTAGCACCTCTAGACTTTGAGAATCCTTCAATGGATTTTGTTTGGACCGTTCGAGCACGTCAGCGTTGGGGAGATAAGTCTTATGGTTTTTGAGTTGAATTCTGTCATGACTACTTGAGGTTTTACTTGGGGATTTACTGATATTTAGTATCACACAAAAATGAGATCATTTGAATGAGTTTAGAGTCCTCTTTCATGTGGGATTCAGAAAAAAAGCCAGAGTTGTGATGATATTGGCCATTTTCATAGTGACCATGCAGTGTGAGTAGTCTTCGAACATGAGATATTTGGGATTTTTGTGAGGAAAAAGGGATTAGCCACAACTTTCAGCTCCTAGGACCCTAAGCAGAACGGGCGTAGCTAAGAAGACCACCAGACCTTAGGCTTGTGGAAAGCGCTAGAGCCATGCTTCTGAGTAGTATTCGCTTTCAACATACTTCTGGGCTTAAGGGTTAACTACAGCTTGTTCGTGTTGATAGGGTTGAATGTTAGAGCCAAATTAGATAAGAAACCCTATGAGATCCTTAACGGTATGAAACCTAATCTTTCCCACCTTCAAGTCTTTGGTTGTAAGGTTTTCATTCACAATAATAGGAAGTCTCACTTAGGAAAATTTCACCCAAAATCTCATGAAGGAGTGTTTTTAGGATATTCTAGTGTTGGGAAGTCTTTCAGGGTATTTAATAAGAGAACTTTGGTGGTGGAAGAGACTACACATGTAGTATTTGATGAGTCTGATCCTAGAAAGTCTAGAGTTAAGGATGATGATGATGGAGAGATTGACACTGAATTAAAAAACTTGGAGAAGGGGGTAGAGCACCAGAATACTAAAGGAGAAGGAGAGGTTACCCAAAGAGTAGAAAATATAGATATGGAGGAAAGGGTTGAACCTTCACACACTTTGCCTAGAGATTAGAGATACTCTTCGAGTCACCCTAAAGATCTGAATTTAGGAGACCCTTCTGACTGTGTTAGGACTAGACATGGACTTAGAAAGAAAGTGAACCACTCTGCCTTTATCTCGATGACTGAACCCACCAACATAAACCAAACCCTTACTGATGAGTTTTGGATCTTAGCCATGCAGAAGGAGTTGAACCAGTTTGTTAGAAATGATATTTGGGAGCTTGTAGAAAGACCTAAGGGACAAAGTGTAGTTGGAACCAAATGGGTCTTTAAGAACAAGGTGAATGATTCTGGAGTGGTGGTTAGGAATAAGGCAAGATTAGTGGCTAAGGGGTATAATCAAATAGAATGGATAGATTTTGAGGAAACTTTTTCCCCTGTAGCTAGATTGGAAGCCGTTAGAGTGCTATTAGCCTTTGCCTATTATAAGAGATTTAAGCTTTTCCAAATGGACGTAAAGAGTGCCTTTTTAAACGGAGAAATAAAATAGGATGTGTTTGTAGAACAACCCCCAGGTTTTGAGAGTTCCCAATTTCCAAATTATGTTTTCAAATTAAAAATGCCATATATGGATTAAAGCAGGCACCCAGAGCTTGGTATGAGAGACTTAGCATATTCTTACTAGAAAGGGAGTTTCGTAAGGGGAGTTAGACACCACCCTTTTCCTGAGGGAAGTAGGAGATGATTTACTCATTATTCAGATCTATGTCGATGTTATAATTTTTGGATCTTCTAATAAAAGGCTATGTGATGATTTTTCTAAAATAATGAGTAAGGAGTTTGCGATAAGTATGATGGAAGAATTGTCCTACTTTTTGAGATTTAACATTAGACAATTAAATAATGGAACTTTTTTAATCCAAACAAAGTACATAAAGGATAACTTCAAAAAATATAAAATGGACAAAGCTAAGCCAATTAATACTCCCATGACCTCAAGAGTTCAATTAGACAAGGACCCAAATGGAAAATCAATTGATCAGAAGAAGTACAGAGGGATGATTGGATCTTTACTTTACCTGACTGCTAGCCGACCTGATATAATGTTTAGAGTTTATCTTTGTGCTAGATTTCAAGCTGACCCTAAGGAATCCTACCTGACTGCAGCTAAGAGAATTCTTAGATACCTTTTAGGGACCCAAAACTTAGGAATCTAGTACCATAGGCACAACACTTCTTTTGAGATTATCGAATATTCTGATTCTGATTTTACAGGATGTAAAGTGGATAGAAAAAGCACTTCTTGAACTTGTTAATTCATAGAAAAGTCTCTAGTCTCTTGGTCTAGCAGAAAGAAAAACTCTGTTGCTCTTTCCACTACTGAA